AACTTCTTGCAGGACTTCTCTACAAGTGAACAAGCCCAAGTCCATTCACTGGGCAACTCAAACAATAATCATTAGAAATGTAAGGAGAGCAACCACCATCATAACTAATACATTTGAAAAAACGTATATTTCCAGATCCCCGCCGTGAGTAGCGGTGATGACTTTGACTGGTGATTGAGCTTTTCAAATCTCCTCTGTCAGTCTAGCCAATAAACACGTAAATACTGGTCAAAAATGGGGTCCCAATCCCATCGTGGCTTGGCCTAACTGCAAGAAAATGGGAAGTGGAATTGTCAGACTTCAATTTCTCGTTAATTTCTGTTCATGTTTAGTCTATAAATATCGTTTGCAATTGGCTCTTAACTGCAATATAACTAACCACTTGAATTCAAGAAAATAAAGCCTTGTGTGCAAGAAACTTAGGCTCCCATTATCATCACCATGGCTTCATATCAAGGTTTAAAGAGATTGGTGGGGATTTTTGTTCTTGCAATTGCCTTCTGCATGCAAGCCGTCCAAGGTTAGTGAATTTCTTGTTTCAAGAATTACAACACATATTGCCATTTTAGTCTTACTCTTCAATGAATCTTCTTTTTTATGATTAGAAAATAGTATGCTAAGACTTCCATGTCAAAATCATGTATTGTACATGCAAAATTTTTGTAAAACATTATATTGATTTGCAATTAGTATGCCATGTCGTTTTAGCCTGTCCTGGCCCTTTATACCTTGTATCCATGAAATTAGTATGAGTTGTGGGCTGTGGAGATCGACGTTTGAAGCTCAACCGTCACATCAGTTGAGCTCATCCTCTTTGTAGCTCGTCGTATTGACCTTGGTTACCCACTTCTAGTCAACCCTTGACTCTTGAACTCAAAGATTTACCTTGACATGGTCAACTCATCCATTTCAGTCATGATGAACACGATTTGACTTTGACGGTGCCAAAAATATTTTTTCATTAAAAAAAAAAAAGAAAAAGAAGCACAGTATGAAATTATTGATCCCTAATATTTAAACAAATGCAAGTTGGTCTTCGAGCTTGTATTATAGATACCCTATCAGTCCAAAATTGAAACAGTTCAAATCTCTTTTGAATCCTCAACCTTTAACGGCGATTCTTTCCATCCTACATCGTCATGACCTTTGCAGTGTGTAGTATTCTTTGTAGCAGATCGATATTAATACATAATTGCATTGGATTTGTTCTTTTCTATATTTTTAAATGATATCACAGGAAAAATATCTTGCGAGAATTTGAACAAAGACTCTTGTGCCTTCGCAATATCATCTTCCGGCAAGCGCTGCGTGCTGGAGAAGCACATGTGCAGAACCGGTTATGAAAAATATTCATGCCGAACTTCAGAAATCGAGGCTGAAAATCTCAAGGAGTGGATTGAAACTGATAAGTGTATTAAGGCCTGTGGCTTGGATAGAAACGCGCTGGGAATTTCATCAGACGCTCTTTTGGACTCTCATTTTACCCAAAAACTATGCTCAACACAATGCTATGGTGGCTGCCCCAACATTGTTGATCTCTACTTCAATCTTGCTGCTGGGGAAGGTAATACTAATATTCACACACACACACACACACGGACAAGCAAGACCAAGAGCACAAACTTGTTATCAATTATATATACCATAGATTGAAACGCATAACAAGTTCATAGGATCCCCTTTTTACGTCCCTATGTCCCTTGTGTGACAACATGGTGGCAAAATGAGAAAAAGTAGTTCTCCGCTATAGAAACGATGTCATTTTGAGAAAAAAAAAATAATAATAAACAATTAAAGCATCTTTTCAAAATTTTCTTTTGTGAAAATAATTATTGTCCATAACATTCTTAATCCTTATGGATTATTTGATAGGTGTTTACCTTCCCAAATTATGTGAAGCAAAAGGAGCAAATGCACGTCGAGAAATGAGTGAAATCAAGAGCTCTGGAAATGTTGCACCTGGCCCTGAATCAGGATTCAAGTCTGTAAACTTCAAAGATGCCCCAGCAATGGCTCCTTTTTGACATGCATACGTTTTGACTAGTGTATTACACCGAACAAGTCAAGAAAACTAGTGAGTTTTTCCAATGTGTGTTGTATAACATTATACGAAGGACATAAATTGATCACCATGATACTCAATGAATAAGGTGATGATCGATACTCAATAAAAGACGCTAATGTATGAGAGTTTGTATTAATAATTATTCTATCTTTTGAATAAATTTGAGTGATTATAAAATGGCAATGAGTACCTCTTACAACTAACTAAGTTTTAAGATAATATGTTAAGGTTCGAAATAGGCCTGGGTGCGGTTTGGTTTGTGTTAGTTTCAACTCCAACCCGAAACCGAAATCAAATTAGTCAGTTTGGACAGAACTAAGCCACTCTAACTCTTAAACCAAACCAAATATTTGGTTTGGACTTTTAGTCCAAATTAAATTTTTAAAAAAAAATTGTTCGAGTTTTAAGCGCACTTAAATTACAAGAACTAAAATAACCAAATAATTTTATATTATAAGATCTATTGACTAACAAATTAAATCAAATTAATAGAGACGGGTCAACTGAATACTTAATTTTTTTTTCTTTTTATTTATTATGTAGTCTGACTACCTATATATGAAAAAATGCTAAGTATAATATAATAAACTTGTGAAAGAAAAATTTCAGTGCTATTACTTATCAGCAATATAATAGATTGGAGGAAATCGAGATATGGTCATGAGATTAAAGTTTATCTTTTGATTTTTTTCCTTAAATTAAAAAAAAATGTGAACACGCAAGTGAGTTTGGTTGTTTTGGTTATCTAACGGTTTGAGACTTCAAACCATGACTGAACCAACCCACCATGGTTTTGTTTAAAAGAAAACCAAACCAAACCAATTACTTGTGTCGAACCAACCCTAGTCGGTTCGGTTTGATTGGTTTGATCGATTTTTCAATTTTTTTGCCAGGCCTAGTTCGAACCCTGAACCTTCAAATGTTAAAGGCGTGCTTCCAAAACATGTTTCTCTTTGAAAAACCTATCGTTCGACCCAATTAACACCTAGAAGGGGCGTGAATAGGTGTTCTTGCAGAATTAAAAACTTTTTGAATAATTCATGCAACAAGTCACACAAATTATAATTTGTCCAGATTAATTCACGTGCTTTATCTACCTATGTTGGATTACCATTGACAAGTAAATAAATTAAAGCGGTAAAAACACAATAAACATGTTGACGAAGAAACCCAACTGGGTAAAACCTCCGGGCACAAGCCAGTAGAGATTCACTATTGTAGAAACCAACTTATAGCACGCCAGACATCATTGACACTCTCAATTTTCTGACCTCCTTGCTGTATGAACTCAAGACCCTCCTGGATTTTGCAAATCCGTGCTAAATCCCAGCCTTGTATAATTTCTACCTCCCGTGAATCGCCACGCACTCCAGCTCTTCAAGCAAATCCTTCCCGGATCTTCAAACTGATGATCTTCTGGAAGTTTAATTGGAGTTGTGAGACAGGTGTTTTGGGGTTTATGGATTTGATGTTTTTACTCAACAAGCCAAGGATTGGTATGAGAATAATGAAGGATTTCTTTGGCTTTTGATCCTTGGAGAGAATGATTTGGATTTTTGGTTGCCAAGGAATTGAAAGAATATCAATGTGAATTTTCGGGTTTTTTGAACACGAATGGGACGTTTGGTATATATAGAGGTTGATATATGGTAATGTGGAGCGTCAAACATTCGCGAGCGTTTAAAATTAGAATTGTCTAGGTAACACGGTCGCTCGAGCGAGGTACTGGCGAGCCTCGAGCGACGGCTCAGCGTGCGTCCAACGAAATTGGTTCTGCAATTGTGGCTCGAGCGAGGTCAGGGCGAGACTCTAGCGAAATCAAAGCGCCGCTTGCATCTTCGAGGCATCCCACACAACCCTAGACCTAGCCTATAAACTTTAGTTAATTGAAACTCTAGTCCCTGAACTATTGGACATTGACAATTTGGTCCTTGACTTTACAATTTTGACAATTTGGTCCTTGGTCACAGATTTGCCAATTACATATTTTCCTAACAAACTCTCCCTTTGGCATTCTGTGACAAAAACACATTTGACAGTCAAGGATAAAAAACAAATTGACTCCAAACTACCAATCTATTCTATCACATCAGCAATATCTTGTTGAACCTGTTTCCTGAAAAACAAAACTCAAATACCACATGAAAAAGCATGTGCAATGGAAACAGTAAATATAGACAAGATATAAATCATATATCATTAACCACATTAAGAAGCAATAATAATGTATGTCTAAAACACCAAAAACAGACATTAAGATTGCCAAAACATCAAAAACTTAATCTAGTTATAAAATGACATATATACATCAACTTTATATTACAGTTATCAAAAAATAATTATCTGCTCCAATATTTATGCAATCTACTCCATATCAACTCAATCAATCTACTCCCCCTTTTTGTCACAAAGGGCCAAAGAAAAGCTAAAGCAACAAAACGAACTAAGAAGCAGCATCTTCAGCACTGGAAGAATCAGAACCACTCTCAGCACTCGTGCTCTCCTCCAAATGATCTCGAATCCAGCGCAACTGACGCTGACAGACAGCAAGAGCACGACGAAACGTAGACATCTCGGCTGACTGACGCTCCGAAGAAGCACGTAACTGCGTGATCTCAGCTATCATACGAGCCTGCTGCTCGATCAGTGTAGACATCTGACCCAGAAGCGGCACCATGGGGTCAACGGACAACGTAGCCATCCCAGGAACAGAAGTAGATGTCGAAGGACGGGAGGAGCTGAGCGGAATAGCCAAAGGAGGAGCGGGATGAGATGGAAGGAATACTCGAGAACCCCCAGTAAGTATATCAAAAATAGGATCGAGGGGCTCGGAACAATCAAAAGCATCAACAGCTGTAGCCGCCACTGTAGCCTGAGCAGAAGAAGAGGAAGACGGAATATGAGAATGACTCTGATGAATAGTCTGCTGTCCAATCGGACGTCCTATGCCACGAGTTGAACCCTCGAGGAATGAAGCACCCAAAAATAAAGCAACCCTATGAATCAAGCAGGCATAAGGTAACCCGATCCGACCCCCCGGAGTACGAAACGAAGCCAGAATCTGCTGGCAAACAAAGTTGGGTAGGTCAATCGAGTCCCCGCGAAGGAGGGCATAGAGAAAGCGGGCCCGCCCCATGGGTAAAGAAGAAGTATGGGCTACGGGCCATAGGTTTGTGCACACAATACGCAACAAAACCTGGCGATCAGTGGGAAGAGAACCCGTGGCCATCGCCGTAGGCCCCCCGACAGACGGGGTGTTCAAAATCGTCGACCGAACAAGGGAGTCGGCCGGAACAGAAGAGGGTAAAATATAGGGGTACGTAGGATGGGTAATCTCTGGTATACCTAAGGCCTGAGCTACGGCAGAAGGTGTAACCCTAAAAGAATGACCCCGCAAATATACCCTAAAGGACGACCCGTCAATATCGTGGATATTCGCATAGAATTCCTGAACTAGAAGAGGGGGTGGAGGTGATAGACCAACAAGCAAAGGCTCCCAACCCCGAGACACTAAGATGGCAACTATATCTATGGGAAGGTCAGACAAAATTACCTCACGCTCCACGAGAACGGGGCATAAGGAGAACTGGGAAGTGAAGACCTCCTGGGCTGTAGCAGAAATGAACCTCGATCGACTGTAAGAGGTCAAACCACTAGCCGCCTGTGAAGAGGGACGTGATCACTTACGGGCCATCTAGCACACGTAAAGAGGCAAGAAATGAGTCACATGAAAAATGCACATGAAACAATGCAACGTGTCATGACACACCGTGCACACAAATGAGGCACAAAAGTGATACATCGAAAAATGCGATCGACCCTAAGAGCAAAGTCATCACGACTCAAAACCCAACGAAAAATATGCGTAAAGCCGCAACGAAGCAAAAATGGAATGAGAAAAATACCCAAACAACCCTAAGGAAACAAGAAAATAGCTAGGGCATTGCATCGAACACATGGCGTGCGTCACTTCGGCACGAATTCCCAAGCACACACGAGACGCACCCACGCAACCAAGCACAACTCCACAAACTAGGCAACATGCTCTTCAAAACGAAACAAGCCACATGCAAATCGGAGTTACGGAATGCAAGAACGAAGTCGACGAACATGGAAGAAAAAATAAGAAACACACTTAAAATAACCAACAAAGAATCACACAATGCGAGCTAAACTTTGAATAAAAGTGCGAGAAATGGCAATCCATGAATCAAAGAGATGCAAGAGGCACAGAATCCATAAGAATTAAGCAATGATGCTCACAAAACCGAACAAACATGCAGAAAATGCAAAAACACAAAAAAAAACGAAGAAAAAACAAGAAAAGCTACCTCAAATGATGTTCAAGATGGAATTTTGATGTTGAAATCAGGTGTAAGTGCTTCGAATCGATCAATTATCAAGAATATTTGAAGAAATTGCAACACAAAAGAAGAAATGTATGTAAATGTAGGGAGAAAAATGAAAAAATAATGCGCGAAATGAAGAATCAGAATTCAAATACCCACACTGTCGCTCGACCGAGACGACAGCGAGACTCGAGCGAAAACAACCCTATTATTTTCGCTCGAGCGAACGGCACGCGAGCCTCGAGCGAAAACTCAAATTTCAAAAATAGCACCACAATTTTGAATTTTTTTTAAAAAAAATGGCAGAACTCTTAGAAAATTACAAAATTAACCCCGAATTTCAAAATTTTGAAATGTGGAACGAAACGAAGTATGTAACCGAATATGTAATCGAGCCCAACAATAAGCATAAAGTCACAAACCCAATAATCAGCATATATACAAAACGAAAGTCCACACAGAGATCAAATTACCATGGAGTAAAGTGTATACAGACCAACACCGGGAAGAGTGCCACGTAGTCCATGCAAGCGAGACTCAAAACCTTAAATTGGTGAGAAAGGACACGTGAAAACAACCAAACAAAGGTGTATGTCGACCAAGTGACAATCAAATCCAATACCACGAGGACCCAAATCAAATAATACGATTGTCACACTTTTACTCCCCCTAACTGAATGATCTCATGTTTTTTTTTTTTTTAACAAACAAACTTAAGTGCAATGCTATCCTCATTAGGAGACATAGATGACCCCCTTAACGAACGTTCGGCCGGTGACTCCCAAGTCAGAGGACCTTAGGCCACCAGGTTAAAAACCCCTCCGGCTT